GGTGGTGAGTCAGTCAGTTATCTAAAAACCTAGATTTGAGTGTCTAATGAAATCCAGAGTCGAAACACTGGTGGACCTTACTGAGAGAGATTGGTTTATGAATCTGCTTTGATGCTGGACCCAGTGAGGCTCTACAGTAACTGCATTCTCTTGTATGAAGAGTGAGCATGCTGGGTCCTCAGAGATCTGACGCTGTCCTGTTATTAATGGAATAAGGTGGATTCAGTATTAGACTTCAGGCTCAGAGACAGTTGTATATAATGTTGAACTGATGGCTTTTCTGTTGATCCTCTTCTCAGCAGCCTGCCACACCCTGGATAGCACTGTTTTTTGGTGGGGGCGTTGTGCATTAAGGTGATGGCAGGGAGACTTTTACCATGTACAAACACGAGGTGCTAAGGTTTCGGATGTTTCAAACAGAGAGGGTAACTTTAGGTTAGTTCCTCAGAGAAATAAACTCAGCTCAACAGTAAAAACGATAAAAAGATTTTTTTTAAAAAGCACGTTGTTTTGGAGAAACAGGAGCTGTGATTGATGGTGATGAGAGATGAGCCTGCATGAGGTTTTAATGGGTCAAACTAAAAATGACTCAGTCATAAACACATGGTCGGCTGTGTCTGTTTGGGTTTGCAGCCTCTCTACGGTCTGCTCCAAGCAAAGCTGCAGCTCATCACACACGCCTACTTCGAAGAGAAGGACTTTTCCCAGATCTCCATTCTAAAGGTGAGAATTTGTTCAGACAGGAACCTTCGTGTTTGTCTTCTCTGTCTCTTCGGTTTACCTCCTGTCTCCTCATCTGACCCTGCAGGAGCTGTACGACCACATGAACGGTTCTCTGAGGGGGTCGGCTCTGGAGGGGTCACAGGTTTACTTAGGTAGGTGGATCTTTAGTTTCATCTGCGTGTAACACTGTACATACATTTTTCAGACATATAGTTACACATCACAGCTTGTTTATGTGCTTAAAAACAATGTTGAAGTTTGTCCTTTTGAGGGAGTTTAGTTATATACTTATAAGAAAAAGCCAAAAAATTATGTTGCTTCTTAAAAAGGATCCATTATCTTTATATATCTGTGGCTTTATCGACACTTTCTCCAGCAGCCTAAACACATACTGCACTGTTCTTCACTGTTGTTAATGTGTTGTGGCCTGTGAACGGGTGATTGTTGTTAACTGCACAAACATGCTCCTATATTTTCCTTAAGGGTAAATTTCTCATTTGTTGTTTCTTTTCTCTTTTCAGGTTTATCATCGAGAGATCTTATACTGCACTTTAGACACAAGGTAGAAAGTAACACATGCTGAGATCATTGTAAACAACGCAGTGCAAAATACAGTATGACCTTGTCCTCCTAAAGTACCGATGTTCTTGTATAGCATCAGTGATTAGCACATCTTCTTCACAGGTTCTCATCCTCTTCAAGCTTATTCTGCTGGAGAAGAAGGTACGATATCTTTTCTTCCTTGTAATGGGAAGCGGTACTGGTACCACTGTTTCTCAGAGCACAAGTACTTTCATTTGTAATAATAATGCAGTGTTTTTGCTCTAAAAATTCAATTTAACTTAAAACTGCAATGCAGTTGTAGTTTGGTCCTTTTGAAGTGTGGCTCTGTAGGTTTTTTTTGTGACTTATGTTTGCAGGTCCTGTTCTATGTGTCTCCTGTCAACAGACTAGTAGGAGCTCTGATGACAGTTTTGTCGCTGTTTCCAGGTCAGTAACAGAAAGAATACATGTTTAAACAGCTTCTCTGATCTTATAGCCTTTGTGAGGATGGTGAACGGGCATTTTTTTGCACGTTTGTATAGGTGGAAAAAAAAAGGCACAAAACAGACTATGCACTGACACAAAATAGCCTATATACAAAATATGCTAACAGTTTTTAAAAGGTACAAAGTGTTTAGCGGTGTGGAGATATGCTGTTATAAAATCTGTACATTAAAACATGGAGCTTCATCAGTAGAGGCACAAGATGTGTATTGGTGTAAATAATCAAACCACTAATCTCAAGTTTGAGCATAACATTTTTGAAATAAGGAAATGCATCAAAAGTGAGAAGTGTGTTTAGTGGTATTGTAAATGACCAGTGTGTTTCAGTCCTTATGAATTCAACTTTTCAATTGTTAAAGAAGGAATGTGTTATTTTTCTACTAACAACATATCAAATGACAACATAAAAGGAGGCGCTCATGGTGACAAACCTACAGACAATCATCACGCGTCTGCAGCTGATTTATAGTCCATTTCAGCTCATTGTTAAGGTGTTGGGTCTGGTTCACTCTCACCACTCTTATGGTGCTGTTTTTGGTTGCAGCAGGCAGCTGTGTTCAGAGAAAAAGGTTCAAAACTCCACTGTTCACAGCCAGACAGTCAGAAACTAGCCAGTGAACACAGTGGACCATTTAGCTGCTAAACAGACAGACATTTCCTCAGCAGCTGGTGGAGAACAAAACCAGAGCCATAAGAGAGTGAATATACAACCAACAATCACCTGGTGGATTATAACTGCTAACAATAGGTTAAAGTCTGGGCATGTTAGAAAAGCTGCATTAAGACCAACACAAAAAAATTGTATTACAATAATTGAACAATGCTGGCATTTGCTCAGGTATGATTGAGCACGGACTGGTGGACTCGTCCCACTACAAGCCTAAGAACGGCGTGTCAGAGGACCCAAATCTGGCAGAGATTGTCTCTGGAGTCGAGGACTTTGTCTCTGTGTCCGTCACCGACTTTGCCAACTCCACCTCAGAGCTGCAGGGAGAGGAGACTGTGGAGACAGCCCAGCTGGCCGCAGAGTCTCTGTCCTCTGGGAAAAGCACAGAGGAAGACAACCACCTCCTCAAACCGCTGTCTCGACCCTCTCCAGAGTCCTCCGAGAGCGACTGGGAGACTCTAGACCCCACTGTGTTAGAGGAGGGTGGTTCGAATGTGACGGCTGAAGGGAAGGAGAAGGGCTCGGCACTGCCCGACTCCTTCGACTCCAAACCAGGGACGCCAATCACAGTGCAGCCACAGGCAGCCAGTAATCAGGGAGGTGTCACCCAAGGCCTGGTGTCTGGTCTGGAAGAGGATCAGTACGGTCAGCCACTCGCCATCTTCACTAAGGTAGAGGTAGAACTAATTTATTATTTTCATTATGTCTATGATTTTATGGATCATCATCAGCTCCCACAGCTCAGGATATTGTCTCCAGGTCGGTTCTTTTTGTCCATCGCCGCCTCATCAGATCATCATCTGTGTGTGTTTTGGCCTTAAACGGATCACTGGTGTCTCAAATACACATACACACTGATCTTGCCTTTTGTTGTTGCCAGGGTTACCTGTGTCTACCCTACATGGCCCTGCAGCAGCATCATCTCCTATCGGACGTGACTGTGCGAGGCTTCGTTGCGGGGGCGACCAACATTCTCTTCCGCCAGCAGAGGCACCTCAGTGATGCGATTGTTGAGGTACGTCCTGCGTGTTGAAGAAGCACTTCATTCATTTTTGATTTAATGAAAAAGGTTTTCGAGGCACAGTTCACGTTCCTGACAGGTGTCGCTGCACATTGTCGGTGTTGCAGGTGGAAGAAGCTCTTATCCAGATCCAGGACCCTGAGCTCCGGAAGATGCTGAACCTGACGACAGCGGACCTACGATTCGCCGACTACCTGGTCAAACATGTGATGGAGAACCGCGATGATGTCTTCCTGGACGGGACGGGCTGGGAGGGCGGAGATGAGTGGATCAGAGCCCAGTTCACCCTGTACCTCCACGCTTTACTGTCCTCTGCATTACAACAAGGTGGGTTCCTCATCTCCTCAGTCAGGGGTTCATTCATTCTGTCATGTTCCTGTCCTTTCTTTCATATATTCACTTTTTATTAAGTAATTATGATAGTTCTCCATAAACCAGTCTCCCCAGGCTTTAACAAAAAACTGCAGTAAGGTTTTAAATACATTTGATCTAAATTAGATTGTTTTAAATATAGCCTCATTTGCTCTTTAACAATGTTCACTCTCAACTGATCCAAAATGTCTGGGATTCATGTCATTTGAAAAACCATACTTCAACAGAATGTATACATTTTGTTGCTTTAGTGGCTGAGAACATTTCCGGAAGCATTAATATGTTCTTAGATTTACATTCTCTCTTCCAGCTTAAATTCACAAAGTCACCAAAAAGTAAAAATGTATGTGCATTTCATATAAAACAGACCTATTTCAGGGATAGAGCAACAGGTTAATGTCCATCTTTTCTGTAGCACATGAAGTAAATGATACAGTTCCTACCAGTGTCATCGGAGCAGACATATACATATACTTTGCGGATGTAACAACAGTAAATTCAGTTATGCAGCTACTATTGTTTCCTCTATGTTCAGATAATGAGAGGCTGCTGGCTGATTATGGTGCACCGTTCATCGCAGCCTGGAGGGTCACCCACAACTACCGGGTGTGGTACAGCAACAAACACCCTGCCATGACCACCATCACCCCAGGGTAGGTGGACAGGAGGGACACGAGCCTGAGGTTTACCCTGCCCCGGAGACTTTTGGATTTACTTCAGACTTTTAAAAACATGTGGAGTAGAGTTTAAAGGTGTAGACACACATTACATTTGACAGAAGAGGAATTGATTCAGTCAGTTGCCACCTGTGAAATATTCCCCAATCTGAGCTGATATGATACTTAATACAGAATCAGGGCATCTCTAGTGTACACGTTATTTACATAGGAGTGAGTCCTCCTCCTCTTGTCTGTTGTAGACACCCGTTCCAAGGCCAGTACAGTGTTGCTGATGTGAAACTACGGCTCTCACAGTGAGTAGTATTTCATCACCCTGCTTTATATACATTGTCATAGTACAATAACATACTAATTTTATTGTTCAATGTAGCATAAATGTCTCTGCAGCATAAACAATGCAACACAACAGTGACATTAATAACAGACAGGTGCTGTCATCTGCTTGGTATACTGTAGCTCCAAATACTGCACGTTCCTGCCCTCTTGTGGTGAATAAATGATATGGCAGCCAACATGATGCTTTTTGGGACAGGTTCATACAGACCCTGAGAGTTCAGAGCACTGAAATATGGATCTATAGAAAACAAGCAAATTAAGAGAACAACGAGAAAAAGAATGTGTGAGCTATATTTAACATTCAGCTGTCGGGGATTCATGCATCAAAAGATTTGGACTGCTTCTCTAAACACCACTAAGTGTTGTCATATTTAATCTGTTTTTAGACTCTTGATTGCATTTCCAAACATCATACTCTAACACCAGTTAATGCTGAACTGTGAATACTTCCTGAGAACTGTATGTTATAGAGAACAGCAAGCAGTGTGCTACTTCACGCTGTGCTTGTTGATGGATATACCAGCTCACTGGTCAGCGTATTGGGGGTGGCGAATCTTGCATCAGCTGAAGTCATTAATTATGAGGCAGTTTCATCCTCAAAAACACAGCCGGAGACCTCTTCAGCTTCGGCTCCGGTTTCATTCCTGGAAACATGAATGAAAGGTGACTCCGTTCACAGCTGGAGCGTCACATCTAATGTTACGCATCAGATAAATGTCCCCGACATGCACAGAGCCGAGTGCGTGTCCGTCCCTAACTTAGCCTTATGGTGAGAACACTGGCAGATCTGCTTGACTGCAACACTCGAAGCTCTCACTTTACCTTCATGTGTTTGGTGACATGGCTGCTGTGAACTTTGTTGAAATGGTTAAGTTAAAAAAAAAAAACTGTAGAGGAACCTTAAAAGAAGTTTAGTTATATAACAGAGTAGGAAAAAATCTAATTTAAAAATTTAAAGGCCAAAAAGTGTGACATAAGATTTAAAAGAACTTTGAAATATGAAAGAAATTAACTAAGTAAACTTTATTTCTCTACTGTCTTTAAGAATCACAGAATACCATGTGACTCATCTACACTCAGTAGCTGGTAATGACAAAGTTCTGGAGATCTCTCCATCAGACCTCTTCCTAATGCCAAAGCATTTTCTCGTTGCTTCTCTTCATTCAGGGACAGCAGCAAACTCTTGTCACTGCATCAGTAAGCGTGGAGTCGTGTA